GTGTGTGGTTTGGGTGGGGGGGTAGGGGTCACCTCTTCCCAAAGACATTCCCCACATTCCAGGGCCAGCTTTAGGAGTTTATGGAGGGGGAGGGCTGGTGAAGTTATTCTTAGCAGCCCCTCACTCTCTCCCTTTCCTTCCTGATCATTTTGCTCCAACAGCAGCACACCACAAAGACCCGAGTTAAATTTGGTACGAAGTCACAAGTGGGGGGCTGCAGGGGCTCATGCAAACCTCTTAGCCACGGGTTTCCCTACAATCCACTGTTGTAACAGGGTTCAAAAAAGAACTAGATAAGTTCCTGGAGGATGGGCAGGGATAGTGTCCCTAGCCTCTGTTTGCCAGAAGCAGGGAATGGGGGGACGGGATGGAACACCTGATGATTACCTGTCTGTTCATTCTCTCGGCGGCACCTGGCATTGACCACTGTCGGAAGACAGGATACTGGGCTTGATGGACCTTTGGTCTGACCCAGTATGGCCATTATGTATCCTGCTTCTTATGCAGAAGTTGTGTTCCTGCTCTGAAAATACCCTGCAAGTCAGCACTGCCCCCAAACACCTTGACCGTTAGAGTACGTCTACATAGAGAGCAACAGCAAGTCTCAGAGTCCAGGTCGACAGACTTGGGCTATCGCACTAAAAAAAGCTGTGTAGACCTTGCAGCACAGGCTCTAAAACCCACCCCCCTCAGAGTCTGAGCTGCAGCATCTACATAGCTCTTTTTAGCACGGTAGCCCAAGCCCCACAAGCCTGAGTCTGTTGACCTGAGCTCCGAGACTCGCTGCCATGGGCTGTGTAGACAAACCCCCTGCAGCTGGAGCACAGGAGAGCAGAGTTCCAGCCATAGCTCTGCACTGGCTCTTGTCACTTGGGCCCACATTTACGAGCGTGCCTATGGCTACATTTTCAAGTGGCCTCTCCCTTTGGGCGCTCAACTTCCAACCCCTGGGGCCAAATCCTTAGAGGTGCTGAGCACCCACAGCTCCCATTGACTTCAACTGTAGTTGCAGGTCCTCACAGCTTTCCAGGTGTTGGAAATCAGGCATCTAAAGGGAACGTCCAGTTTGGAAAACATAGGCCTTGCCCTCAGCGCCTGTTCCCACCTGTATTACTGCCTCGCTCTCGGGTCCCGGGAGGAAGAACTCTAAGGGTGAAGCTCCTTTTGCTCAGACACCCTCGCAGCCCTCCCCCTACAAACACAGCTCCACCTCTTCCCAGCAGGCTGAGCAGTAGCACAAACACTTTAAAGAGCCAGATGCTTTACACAGCCAGAGAAAAAGGAAGGGCCACAGGAGAACGAGGGTCAGAAAGACTGTTAAGGTTTCAACATTAGTGTTTTGGTTAAATGGTACAAGATCAAATTATCTGTTTGGACATGGTTTAGCGGCCCCAATTCTGCTGCCACCTACTCCCCCACCCAGTGTGCACTATCAGTGTCTCCGTAGGGGGCCCTAATTGGGAAGGCAACAGCTGTGTCTGTATAAGACCTACACCAATGGGATCTTGATCCACGACGAAGACTCCTAGGCACTACAGTAATACAAATAATAAATACCTGCAGAAAGCTTAGAAAACCCAATTGAATCTGAACTTGCTCTTTCAATTCATACCTGATGAGTGGCTTCCCCACACTGGGGTTCTTGCTTGGGGCAGTAGCCCTTTAACGGGAAGCCACGGCAAAGCAAAAGCAAACCCCACTTTGCATTTATACTAATGCACCCCATGTGAGAGCCAGTCCCCAGCAGACAAAAATGAGGCCCTGGGAGGGTAAATGACTTGCTCAAGCAAGGCAGTGGCAGATTTCAGACCAGAATGCAGGTTTTCTGACTCTCAGTCTCCCATGCTCTAACCAATAGAAAATGCTGCCTCCTTGACTTTCCCAGGAAGGGTACCACTTACATATGGCACACATGTGCAGGGCACCAGGTCTGACAAGTTACAGGAGCCTGGACACGAATATATAGAGCCCTGCATGGATACACAATTTATATCTGAGGATATAAAGTGGATATCCGAGGTGCTTCAGGGCCAGTGACCAGGCCCTGAACCGCAGCGGCGAAAGCAGCAGTATGTCGGGCCACCACTTGCAGGAGCCAGCGCCCAGCCTGGGCAGCTCCGAGGAGGAGACTGTACCACCCAGCTCTGCCCACTGCTCACCAGCAGCTATCCCTCGTCCCACTAGTGTGTGCAAGCAGCTAGCACGCTCCCAGACAGGAGATACACACTGTTGCATGGACAGGACAGGAGCGTGCAAGCCCCTATCATGACCAGGGACAGCTGCCAGTGAGCCTGGTGCCCACCCCAATGATCAGGGGTGGGGGCAGTACAGCCACACCAGAGGAGCTGCCCAGGCTGGGTACTGGCTCCTGGGAGCAGTGGCCCAACATGCTGCTGCTTTCGCTACTGCAGTTCCTGGCCCACTCACTGGCTATGGCCCTGCTGGTCTCGCTCATTGTCACTAGAGCCCTGCAGCTCCACGGATAAACACTTTGTATCCATGGATATAAATTGTGTATCCACGCAGGGCTCTACTAGTGTATGTGGCAAGACACAGCTTGCAGAAGGAAAATAATGAGATTAGGAGCAATAGGTATTTATTTGTGCAGTCAGTACAGCCCATTACAGAGCCCAGCTGTGGCAACTATAGCAGAGACACTCTAACTCCTTGCCTTGAGGACAAGGAGAAACTAGGTAATCAACAGAATGAAAGTCAAGTTGTCTCAGGATTAGTGATTGCAAATGGAAGCTCTCTATGCTCATGCTGACCAAGGCCCGTCTACTCCCGAAGGTACCTGAGGCAGAGAATCACACACCTGCACTCATTGCAACACCAGTGCCACGGTGGCCGATGGACATCATCATGGGCAGAGACCACCTGCAAAACAACAGACCTTGTCAGAAAGAGGAGCCACTCATGGAGTGTGGGTGATATGCAAACAGCACATCTGGGGTGTCTGAAGCATGCTAGAGGTGAGATAGTCTAGGGAGAAGCCTGAGGTAATGTGAGGGTGAAGGACAGGCTGGAAGCCTTCCAGACAAACTGGGAACTCATAAACTTGTTGAGAAGGGGCGCAGAGGCAGAAGCATGACCAATCTATTCCCAGACTGCTCTGTGCTTCTGGCTGTGTATTTCTGCACTCAGAATTATTCAAGGAATCTAGCCAAAAGGAAAATAGGCGGGGAATTTGCAGGGGTGGCTCAGGAATGACAAACCCCACTGGCAGGAATCCTGGGAGGGAGAAAGCCCATGTTTGCTGGGAGGGCTTAAAGGGAGGGAGGATGGGGGGAGAGTGCAAGGCTGCTGCCGATTCAGAGGGGAAGGACAGGATTCCGGCTCCCAGACACATACACAGAAATGAGAAAAATCCCAACACAACAGGAAATTCACCATAAGAGAATCAGCCCAATGCAGAGACACTGAGGAGGTGTGCTCTGGTGGCCTCACATGATCCCCTTCCTGTGCCTTAGGTCACCCTAACACCCTTTGGACTCAGGTTTTTTGGGGAAATAATCCTTTGACCCGCTCTAGCGCCTTCCATCAAGGATGTTAGAGGGCTCTGAAGACATTAACTAGGGCTCACAACCCCTTGAGGTGGGTCAGTTTCATTACTGCCATTGCAAAGATGAAGAAACTGTCACAGGTGGGAAAGTAACACTCAGTCGCTCAAGGTCTCAGAATGTCTATGACAGAGCTAGAAATACAACCCAGGTCTCCCACTTCTCTGCCTTAACCACAAAGCAGGTGCTCCCTGACGACTAAAGGGAACATACAGAGTTCTTTCCACATGAAGGGGAGGATGCAGAGGGTTGCCAGACTCTGGGATGTAACCCCACAGAGATGCAGACGCCTCTGGAGTTCTTACTTGTAGATGGTGATATGAGGGGACATGGGACGGTTTGACTGGCTGTTTTTATCCCAAAATTGAGCCATCTCCTCCTTCGCTGTTGTTCCCATGGGGACCACGCTGGAACAAAAGGAGAGGCAGGAAGTCAGAGGAGTAAAAGGAAGAGCAACAGAATTAAGTGACTCAGATTTACCCTGTGCCCACGGAACATCACTGTCTGAGCAGGGCTGTTCCAGGTCCACAGGGTAACACCAGAGGGGCATTTCACCTTGCAGAGCTGTACATCCCAAGGGAGACACCTCACCCATCTCCACATCAGCACAAGTCAAACAGTCCACACACAATGCCCCTCCCACTCAGCAGCTTTTTGCTCTTTGCAGTTTTATCCTGAAACAGGAAAACTACCTGAACCATGGGCACAGTTCTGAAAATGGGGCCAGCTCATAGCTGCCCTGCAAATCAGCACCTAGAAAAAGAACTAAAGGGCAGAATAAACATGACATCAGGTCTGCATGAAGCCCAAGGAAGATGCAGTGAGGCCATAAGTGAGAATGGAGATGTCAGGGAAGCAGGCTTCTGACATGAATTCATCTCCTCCATTCCCAGCTCATCGAGGAGTATTTATTTATTAAAATTATTATTAAATCCATCTACAGGTGCCATCCAGTGGTCTGGGCACCAAGCCCACAACTTCAAAATTACAACTTTAACAAGTACTGCCCATAAATATATCCACGTCAACCCACCCTCCTCAACATCCTTAACCAAAAGGAGAAAGATAGGCTTCGCAATGTGTTTGGAAGGGTAACAAAACTGGGCCCTGGTGGACTTGTGGGTGGAGGGAGAGTTCCAAACTAACAAAAGCTGCCAGCTCAAGCACCTCTGCTGGTCTCAACTGCAGTAATGCAGCACTGATCTCTCGAAAAACAGGAGGTGATAGTCAGTGGCAGCTCTCAGCATTTCATAATAAAACTTAGGATGGTGAGACAGTGCTGATTTCCCTAGCTCTCCCAACCTGAAAAGCACCATCCACAGCCGAGTCGGACTATTAGCTGTCTGATAACATGTTATACAAGGCTGATACCATGCAACCTGCTCTTTACTGCCACGGTAATTGCACATTGTACCAAAGAAAGACCTTGTAATTTCATGTTCCTGAGATAACTAAGCAATTACTCTTACAGCCCGATTTAGCAAAAAAACAAAACAAAAAGCAAAAGCTTCCCCCACCCCCCACTGAGCCCAGCTGCGCAGCTTGCATGGAGCACAGGAGCTGGGAGGGTTTCTGTTGGTCATACCTTTGTTAGGTATAAAGTTACTGTGTACACTGCACTGCAACTTACACAGAATGACAGCAGTGACGGGCAAAGCACAGAGATGCAACATAGTCACTGATGCACCTGTATGGCATGCAAATCCCGATCAATGCTGACTCCATAAGAGGCTATCCCAAAGCGCCTTCTAAAGTGAGCCTGCTTTTATTCCGGTTACATGATTCTAATCCAACTGTGTTTGTACATATTCATCATTGACACATTCAATAACAGCCAGGCCCAAGACTAACACACACCCCAGCCTCCAGTCAGGAGTTTATTTTATCCCAGGACACAATTATTACCTCACAAAAGAAACACCTGCAGGTTATTTAACTAGCCATATATTTATCATGTAATGACATAGTAAATACCCTGCCAACACATGGCACCCGCCAGGTATCTGAATGGTTAGAATTAATAAGCAGGTAGAACATGCACAGGCAGTGAAGTCTTAGAAGGGATCCCTTAGGGAGAAAGGAATTAATCCCTTTACTCTCAATAAAGCCTCAAAAACTCACTGTCGCACAGAAAGGCTGGGGCCGAGCCGAGTCCACAGGCAGCGCTGACCCACATGTCTGCAAAAAAGAAGATGGAAAGAGCTCTGTGAATATCGGCTAGACACTGAAAGGGGTAAATGCACACAATACAGGGGCATTTTTATAACCAGGAGCAGAGGAGACCACAGTGTAATGCCTGATGTTTTAAGAGTGAATCTGGGGGATGAGGAATTATTTTAACACCACTTGTAACGCTGAGCCTAGCTATTAGACTCTCCAGACTCTGCCCAAGAGTTCTCTCTTTATGATACCCTGTAATTACCATACTGAGCTGTAATACCTTGCTAATAAGACAGGCATAAACAGTACTCTGCACTAACAGCGAGGCTAATGCAGGCCATTCTTCACTCTCAGGAGAAGCAATTATCAGGACTGGGTGGTAAATGTCCCAGAAAGGCGTGCCTGCCAAACAGTATGAAAAGAGCTGGTTCAGACTACAGCTCTTCAAGCCTCTGAAATAAAGAGATCACCAGCTTTCCTCCTAAAAGCTCTTTTTCATTATATTGTTTCACCCTTGCCCATTCATTATTCTCTGAGTGTTAGCGAGAAGGCAGGTCAATGCCATGGCCCAATGTACACAGTATTTCAGGCACATCAACATTGGAGGTGGGAGATAAATAAGGTTTTTATGGTCCCCAAAGCAGTGGGAGCCATTCTCTACAGATCAATTGCAGTAATTGTGACTCTGACATTCAAGGGCATTTCTCCAGCAAGAGGGGCAGAGCCAGGCCTCCAATCCAGCCACAGCTCAAGAGTTTGCAGATGTGGGTTGGAATCTACAGCATCCGCTCTCTCTCCCAAGTTACTGTCAAGGACAAGGCACAAAAGACAGCACTTCATTTCCTGGTGGCATGATTAGAATTAAGTGTATAACAACACTCCGCACTGTCATCTACAGCACACTGACAAACATTAATTAACCCTCAGATGCACGCAGACTGAGTCTGCTCCAGCATCTCAGGAAATCTCCCACTGTTTCATTAACACCAGTCCGTAAACACAGTGCTGGCATTTTTAACCATCCCCCAGCAGATCTGGAGGATACAGCGGCAAAAACACCTGGGGACCAGACCCTCAACAGGGCATCATAGCTCCATTGACCTCAACTAAGCTATAAACATTTACATACAATCGAAGCTCTGGCTCCTGGACACCATCTACACAGATGGCAGAAGACAAGAGATTTTCCAAAAAAATGACAGCGTACACATAATGACAGGGCTGACGGCTCCGCACTCTGAGGATCAGCCTTGTTTTACAATTTACTTAGTCTTTAGTGCAGGGACCTTCTTTTTATTGTTTGTACAGCACCTAGCACAACAGGGCCCTGGTCCACGCCTGGGGCCCCTAGACTCTACTGCAATTCAAAATAAAACAAAAAAGAAGGGAAAGAACACACGTTCAATGACTTGACCAAGGTGACACTGTGAGTTAGCTGGCAGAGCCAGCATTAGCAATTCAGAACCTCCTGTCTCCCAAGATCAGTTCACCGCCCCCTATTAAGATAAGCACTGTCTGGGTTGCTCCATGCTCGGTTCCCAATGCAGTTCTCTGCAGTGTCTTTCATTATGGAGTTATGGTAATTACTACAACAACACACATTTAGGATGAGGGCTTCCAAGGTGGCCAGATTCCTCCCCTCATCTCTCTCCAACTTCTGTCAGTAGAAGATTTTTCTGGAAGCTGGAGGCAAACTGAACAAGGAACACAGCTAAACAAATCTGGCATTTCTGCAATGAGGGGAGGAAGGAGGATCCAGAGGCTAGGAAACAAGAAGGGATTCAGGATTCCCTGCTCTGCCACAGACTCCTTGTATGACCTTGGGCAAGTCACGCAGTCTCTGTGCCTCGGGTCCCATCTGAATAAAGGGGATAATAGCCCTACCCTGCCTCACAGAGGGTTGGGAGGATAAACACATTAAAATATTGTGAAGTGCTCAGATATTACAGTAATTGGGGTCATATATGTACCATGGATAAAAAAAATAGGAGTGCATTTGGCAGCTTTGGGGGATGCAGACAGAAAGATAGTTAGAAATTTATTTATCAGCAGGGGAAGAGGGTATTAATGTTTGCATTAGCATACGTGCAGAGATTGTGATCAGCGAGCACATTAAAATGCACCCATGTAATCCAACGCAAATGTCACACTACATGCATGGGCAAGTTGCTTCTATCTTAATGTCTGGGCTTAGTCTATGCACGTCCAGGGCCCAATTTACCATTGAAACAACTCCACAAAATGTAGGACAAAGTCCTGCACAGTGAGTTTAGAATGCCACCAAAAAAATCAGACTGATAGGAGTGTTGGCTAAGAGAAGTGAAAACATTATCTACTGTGCAAAGTGCAAGGAAATGACGAATCAGACCCTTGCTGCTCACTTAGAGCTGCCCATGGATTCTGTGACAGGAACTGAGTCTATGCACACCTCAGAAAGCTTTCCACCCAAGCCAAGATGTTTCTTTCCATCCACACCACACCAAGCCTAAAACTGTCTTTTAAAACAAAAAAGGTATGAAAATATCTAGAAAAAAAACACCACCTTTGTTAACCTTAAAAAGAAGAACAGGAGTACTTGTGGCACCTTAACTCCTGTTCTTCTTTTTGCGGATACAGACTAACACCGCTGCTACTCTGAAATTTGTTAACCTTGATTCCAATGAGAAAAGGTGTATAAGTAACTCAAGACGGAGTGTAGGGGGACAGGGACGTTAAGACTTCATTATAGTCAAACTATTGGGAAGCTGGGAAAATTGAAAATAAAGCTCAAATTGGAAGAGGCACTGTTATTACACAACCAATGGTAACTCTCCTCCCATATCATTGCCCATCCACCATGCAGAAGATCAGGGAACAGTCTTATGCCTGAACCGCAAACAGTTCTGACACCGACAATACAAGCCACCAGACTTTCTGTACTGAACCCATAACTGACATATTCATAGATTCCAAGGCCAGAAGAGACCTTTACGGTCATCTAGTCTGAGCTCTTGCATAACAGGCCAGAGAACATCATCCAGCAATTCCTGCATCGAATCCAACAGCTCTTAGTAAAGCATCCAGGCCTCAGTTCTCCATGCAGGAACCTTACTCTAATGGAGGACTGGTGGTAACAGAGCCACACCTTCTATCCTTCCCTAGTCCTCTCCTCTACCTCACACTGGTGTGGAGGAAAGAGAGCCAGCACAGAGGGAATTCCCCACTGGTTGTCTCCTGATAGCGTGGGAGCACTCTGCAGTGTTTATATGGAGCGAAGTGGCCTTGGTAGACCAGAGAATCAGTCTCCCATTCTGATTTAAATATACCAAGCGATAGAGAATCTACCACACCCCTTATGAAGCTGTGCCAATGGCTAATTATCCTCACTTTAAAAAATGAACCTTATTTCCCATTTGAATTTTTCTACTTGCAACTTCCAGCCACTGGTTCTTGTATGTCTGACTGGGCCCGTGTGTCTGCTAGAATAAAGAGCCCTCTAATAGTACATCTTCTCCCTGCGCTAGTAGTTATAGACTTCGGAAGATGGGGAATCAGCAAGGTATTCCATTGCTGTGTGTTGTGGAATGAACTCAGTGGTGTCTTCAGAGACTGTGGATTCACAGTTTAGTAGGCTCTCAAAGTGCTCCTTCCAGCATTGTTTAATGGCTACATTGTCCTTGAGGAGAGTGGAGCCACCCTGGGAACATAAGGGGGTTGGGCCTTTGGAGCTTGGCCCATATAGAGCTTTTGTGGTTTGAAAGAAGCTTCTCATGTCATCCTGGTCTATGAAAACCTGGATCTCAGAGAACCTTCTCTTGCCAGCACTTGTTTTTGATGCCATGTAGCCTCCTTTGGACTTCAGCTTTGAGCAGATGATAGGCCTCATGTTTTCCTCGGTTAGAGAAATCATTTTGCCAGATACAGAATACATTTATTTTCTGTTGAATTAAATGGAATTAAACGAGGACTTCCTCGTTGTTTTTATCAAACCAGTCTTGGTGCTGATGAATGGAATATCCTATGGTTTCAGCACATGCACTGTGAATAGTATTTTTAAGTTGATTCCAGTGCTTTTGAATGTCAATGACGTCAGGCAAGTCAGAGAGTTTCCCATCTTCCGAGGAAGTATAATGTGCCATCATCCAGATAAAAATAATCACCAGGCCCAGACGGCATCCCAGCTGAGGCTTTTAAAGCTGGTGGAACAAAGCCCCAGCACAAACTTTGCCAATTCCTTGACAAAATCTGGACCTGTGAAGAAATTCCACCTGACTTTAAGAAGGCCAACCTTGTTACAATATTCAAGATAGGGGACAAATCTTTGTTTGGGAACTACAGAGGTATTGCCCTCCTCTCCGTCATAGGGCAGATCCTTGCCCGGATCCTTTTAAACCACCTCCTCCCTCTTGCGGATGAACTCTTCCTTGAATCAGTGTGGCTTCAGGACACCCTGAGGCACAACTGACATGATCTTCGTGGCACGACAGATTCAGGAGAAGTGCAGAGAGCAACACCAGGAACTGCTCATGGCATTCATCGACCTAACCAAGGCCTTTGACTCTATCAATCGTGATGCCCTAGGGATGGTGCTGTGTAGGTTTGGTTGTCCAAAGAAATTTATTTCCATCATCAAACTACTCTATGATGGGATGCAACGGCTCAGAGATCGAACCATTCATCATACTGGTGTCAAGCAGGGCTGTGTCACTGCTCCAACACTGTTCTCCATTTACCTTGCCGTGATCCTGATTCTCATCTGCGACAGCCTTCCTGATGGAATCGGGATCAAGTATCGTATGGATGGCCAACTTCACAATCTCCCACGTCTCCAAACAAAATTTAAGATCACAAGAATTGGCATCACGGATTCAGTATGCAGATGATTGTGTCATCTTTGCACACACAGAGGCTGACCTGCAAGCACCCTAAATCTTTTTGCAGATCCTATCATAGCTTGGGGGGGTCTCTCTCAATATTAGGATATTCTATCAATACCAAGGTATTCTACTAGCCCTCGCCTGCATAAACTACTCTTCATACTTCACAAATCACCATCAGCAGAGAACCCAAGGAAAATGTGGACCATTTTCCATACCTTGGCAGCCACCTCTCCCAAACAAATAGCACTGACACAGAAATCAAATACAGGATCCGCTGGGCTAGCACATTCTTTGGAAGACTACTCAAACAAGTCTTCAATGATAGGGATCTACAAACAGGTACCAAGATCTTGGTTTACAAGGCAGTTGTCATCCCCACCCTTCTCTACGGGTAACCTACAAACAACATCTCAAGCAGCTGGAGTGGTTCCAGCCGTACTACCTCAGGAGGATTCTCAGGATCAGGTGGAAAGACTGACGCACTAACATCAGCGTTCTCTCTGCAGCCAACATCAGCAGTGTAAAAGCGCAGGTCATGAAACATCAACTCTGCTGGGCTGGTCACTGTGTACATATGTCTGACACTTGCCTCCCAAAGCAAGTACTCTTCTCTCAGTTAAACCAGGGAAGAAGGGATCGTGGAGGGCAGCGGAAGCACTTCAAGGACATACTGAAAGTACACCTTAAAAAGGGAGGCATCAATCCACCAACCTGGAGGACTTCAACACAGAGGCATCACGCTATACATCAAGCCATAGCCCACTTTGAGGAGAACAGACGTGCTCATGAGACAGAAGCGACAAAGGAGTAAAGAAAGGGCACAACACTAGCCAACAACTATGTCTCCTCCAAGATTACACCTGTCACTTCTGTGGGAAAATCTGCAGGGCAAAAATTGGGCTCCTCAGCCACTTAAAAACCCATCAATAAATCCCTTTGGCAGACATCATCCTCGCACTGAGGGATAGCCGAAGAAGAAGAGTTATAGACCATGCTCAACCTTCTCATCAATAAACTAAACAGATTCAAATCCTTTAGTCTTTCACTGTAAGGCAAGCTTTCCAGCACTCAGATCACTCTTGCAGCTCTTCTTTGAACTTTTTCCAAATATTCAACAGCCTTTCTAAAGCAGGGACACCAAAATTGGACACAATAGTCCTTTACTCACCAGCAACATATTGAGCAACACAGACTACAGTGAGATCAACCTTCATCTGCTAAAGGAAACCAGAACTCCTGAACCAATACGAACATCAAAAACCCATTCCTAGGGCCCTACCAAATGCACGGCCATGAAAAACGTGTCACAGACTTTTGTGGTACTCTTACTGGTCTTTTGTGTACTCTTACCCTATACTATACAGATTTCATGGGAAAGACCAGCATTTCTTAAACTGAGGGTCCCAATCCAAAAGGAGGTTGCGGGGGGTGGGGGGTGCTGTAGTATTGCCACCCTTATTTCTGTGTTGCTGCCTTCAGAGCTGGGTGGCCAGAGAGTGGCGGCTGCTGGCCGAGGGCCCAGCTCTAAAGGCAGCAGTGCGGAAGTAAGAGTGGCTATATACCATACCATGCCATCCTTACTTCTGCTCCTAGCCAGCAGCTGCCGCTCTCCAGCCACCCAGCTCCGAAGGCAGCACCACCGCCAGTAGCTGTGCAAAAGTAAGGGTGGCAATACCACGACCCCCCAATAACTTTTTGGGGGGGACACATACACACAATACCCTTTTGGGGCAGGACCCCTACAATTACACCACCATGAAATTTCAGATTTAAATATCTGGATTCATGAAATTTACAATTTTTAAAATCCTATGACCATAAAATTGATCAAAATGGACCATGAATTTGGTAGGGCCTTACCCATTCCATATGACACTGGCAAAGGTACATCATAATTCTGCCACACCGTGACTACAGCAGTGGCAATAAATGAGAACACAGTCACAGATATACCTGTTGCTCAGCTACCTACCCTGTGCTGGTTAGAACTATGTTGTGATACCTTTAAAGGCGATCTGAATGCAGAAAAGTGCTTGTCTTTTGCAGGGACTGTTGGGTATTTGTTTTTGTTTTTCCCCTAATTTATGACCAATAAAAAGGGCCAAAATAATTATACTGGTCCAATCCCTAGTAGGGATGCAGTTATACTCATATAAAGGTCTTATACTGGGTTATTATAGATGTATTACCTAATATCCTGGGACCAAGGTGGGTGAGGTCTGAAAAAGAGCTCTTCGTACTCTCTCTCTCACCAGCAGAGTTGGTCCATGGAAAGATATCATCTCACCCACCTCATCTCTCTTATACAGAGACAAGTTTCAGAGTAGCAGCCGTGTTACAGAGACAAGTTATTCCCCTTCCCGTATGGGGATAAGTTACACAGGTATAAATGTGTCTACAGTGGGGTGGTTTACACCACATTGCTAAACTAGTACAGTTAAAGCTGTACAATGTTTGTGTCGACACAGGCCCGTACTCACGGTTCTAAGATGCAGGGTCAGTCTACCCAGGCGTCTGCCAGCTTAGAGCCATTAGACAGCAGTGCAACGTGACCATAAATGTCTGTCTAGCTGAGCTCTCCCTACATGCCGCACGAGAGCGAGGGGAACTGATGATGCTGTTTAGGGACCTTAGGGATCTTTTGCTTATTAACACCGCAGAATTTCCTGCCCTTCCAGTGCTTTGTTTTTAAGACAAGACTGTCACGGGCTCACCCCGGCGGCGGGAGCCAGTCAGGCTTCACTGCAGGTCACCGAGGCTGTTGCCTTGGCCTAGCTGCGCGCCCCTGGAGACCCCCGGAGGCAGGAGCAGCACCGCTGTAGGCGACGGGGAGAAGCCGGGGGCAGGGTCCCAGGACTACCCCGAGCCCTCCAACGCTTCTACCCTGTCCAAAGCGCAGCCACATCACAGGCAGTCACCGGCCCGCCCGCCATGGGGTTCTCCAGGGCCCGGCCGCCGTCCCCCCGCCGGGCCTCCCCCCGGCCCGCCCGGCCACCTGGTGCCCCCCGCTACCTGGTCTCTCCCCTCGTCCCCCCAGGCCTCCGCCGCCTCCTCCTCCTCCGCTACCCAGTCCCCCCCCCCACTCGCCAGGTCTCCAGCCTACCCCCCTCCCCTCCCAGACGTCACCTCAACAATGAAGCCGCCATCTTGAAACGTTCCGAGGTCCGGAAGTGACCTCAGACGTTCAAAGCACGTCCGCCTGCCCTACTTCCGCTCCCGGAGGGGAGGGGCCTCCTCTCCCAGCGACCCCTATAGCTGGGATTCCCTCCCAGCCCCGGGGTCCCCGCCCCCGCCCCCGCCCCCGCGCGGACACGCACATGCTTTGTTGACTGCTGTACATCTCCGGGGGGCTGGGAGCCAGGACGCCTGGGTTCTGTTAGGGACTCGCTCTGTGACCCAGGGCAAGTTACTGGGTTTGATCCTGCTCTCGTTAACATCAGTAGGCACATGATCCAGCCCCTTTCTCTGTCTCTCGGGGTCCCCAGCCCTGTAGGGGCATTAGCACTATTTGCCTACCCCACGTGGGCTGGGGGCAGTGAAGGTGGTGGTACAGCCCCACCACTTATTTTCAATGGAAGCAGACATGTCCTAGTCGGGTGCTCCGAGGACATAATGTGCCCTCTAAATGCTTAACATGAATGTAACAAACTTGCCAGACACTCCTGGCTCAAGCCCCAGAGGGAGGCTCCAGAGGGAGGTTTTATTAAATTAGATTATGAACGTTTAAAAATAAGTTTTTTAGTTTTGAGAGCAAAGCGTTCATCACCCAGAGATATTTCTATTGGGCTTTTACCATCTAAGCACCAACTATGGGCATAGAAGAAGAAGAATTGACTAAGTAACTTTGGCTCCTCTTGATCTACTCTGCAGATCTCAGAATGCTCTGTCGAGCTGTGCTCCAGTGGTTCAAGAGCATGAGTACGATCTTCGGGGCTGACTGCGGAGAAGCGGGACACAAACCCCAAATTGGCTGTGAGTTCTATACACAGGGCACGTCTTCACTGCCAATGTTAAAACGCTGTCGCAGCAACCGTTCAACGTGGCTGTGTAGTCGCGGCACCAGCACTGGGAGAAAGCTGTAAAAAAACCCACCCCCACAAGGGGAGTAGCTACCAGCGCTGGTGCACTGTCTACACTGCCACTTTGCAGCGCTGAAACTTTCATTGCTCGGGGGTGTTTTTTCACACCCCTGAACGAGACAGTTTCAGTGCTGTAAAGTGGCAGTGTAGACAAGACCTTAGATTTCACCAACCAAGTATCAAGTGTAAACTCCTCAAGCATTAGAGTTGTGAATTCAGCTGTCGGGAGGAATTCAGTAGCACATCTCCTCTTCATGGGGGTGGGAGGGGAGAAGCAATGCACAAAGCCTTTTGTCTTCAGCAGTGGTTATGTTCAGCAGTGATTTCCCTGGTGTTGATGGGCCTTCTTTTGTTGGGCAAGAGATAACACGTCATGTTGGAAACAAATATTTTGCACTTGGTAAAGCTTCTCTCCTCTCTGGTGATTTACAGTTACAGAGCAAACACTTAAATCTTACTTTATAACATGGCCTACAGGTATTATAAGTGAGGTGAGTGCACGCAGCAACTTACAAGTATTCCATAAAGTCTAAACACTAAGCACGTTTTTATAACTCTAATGCCTGTTTTAACCGTTCCAGCACACAGGTGAGCCCAGACTGGCTCCAGCTATTTGTCAGGGCTAGTCGACACTGGCAACACTAAAGCACTGCTGTGGCAGCACTTTAAAGTGGCTTGTGTGGTCGCGGCAGAGCGCTGGGAGAAAAAACCACTTCCACGAGGGGCATAGCTACTAGCACTGGGAGTGCGGCTCCCAGCGCTGGTGCACGGTCTACACTGGCGCTTTACAGCACGGAAACTTGCTGCACTCAGGGAGGTGTTTTTTCACCACCTTGAGCAAGAAAGTTGCAGCACTGTAAATTGCCAGTGTAGACAAGCCGTCAGTGTTCAGTTGAGACCTAGGGGCCTTAGCATGAACCGATACCTCCTCTGCCAGCATCACAGCTTCATAAACGTTACTGAATTCTCACAACCCTTCCACAAGGCAGATCAACAATATCTCCATTGCACAGGTGCGGAGGTGACTTATCCAATTGAGGGACAGAGCTCAGTACAGACCCAGGTATTCTGACTCCTTGTTTCCCACTGTATCCTTCCTCTCATACAATGCCCTCTGCCATTTAAAATAGGCCCTACAATAAGTGAAATAATAACAGTGGTCAGTAATTTATATATGTATGTTGAAAGTCACACAGAAGTCAAATTATTATACTTTGCACTCCACACAAATCTTCTCTCCCCACACACCTTCCCCCATTCCTGCTACCAAAAGAGCTAAAGTAGCTCCTGGCAAAATTATGTTTGTATTTAAAATAAATATTTTCAGACAAGGAGCATAGAAACTGCAAGATTAGGGGTCTGTCTCATCTGCTATCCTGCCTCTAATTGTAGCCAGTGCCAGATGTTTTATAGAAACATGAAGTGGGAAAGTATGACATGACCTGTCTACTGGATAAGTTGCTTCCTGACCCCCATTAGTTAGAGGCTGGTGTGTGCCTTGAAGCAGGAGGGTTTATAGTTCTTCTAAACTTTTTTGTTCTTTCTTTAATCATGGCTAGTATCAAATCCAGATATTCCTGTTGTCCGTATCGATATTTGATCTTTCTCTGGATCCTGCTAAGCACCTGGCCTCAGTAATATCTTGTAGCAATGAGGGATAGCTCAGTGGTTTGAGCATTGGCCTGCTAAACCCAGGGTTGTGAGTTCAATCCTTGAGGGGGCCACTTAGGGATCTGGGGCAAAAATCAGTACTTGGTCCTGCTATTGAAGGCAGGGGGCTGGACTCGATGACCTTTCAGGGTCCCTTCCAGTTCTATATAATGAGTTCCACTGACTAATTGTACAGTGTATAAAAAAGACTAAGGGTATGTCTACACTGCAATAGGGACAGCACATGGAGGCATACTCAAGCTACTGTTGATTAAGCTAGCTTGCTAAAAATAGTGGTATAGCCCTAGCAGCACAGGGTAGCCACCCAAGTACATACCTTGGGTCACAGGATGTTGGCCTGAGACTTGATCAACTCCTTCCCCCCTCCATTAAACGCTGGGAGTTCACCATTAAAATTGAAGCAAAAAAAAAGTTCTTCTGCTGATAAAGCACCCCCACCTCAGGAATGTCCTAATGAGATGTATAACCACCAAGGTTATAAAGTAGACACCCAGGCACTGGGAAATTAGGAAGGATACAGAAAGAGACTCAACAAATGGTAAAATAAGCTCTGACCAGTGTTTTATGCTCACCAGCTGCACAAACAGAAAAGGACACAACTAAGTTACAATTTGGGCATGAAAGATAAAATGTAAAAAACTTGGGCAGGAAGGAGGACAGAGTGCCAGGGTGTCATTGGTTAAAATGTTTGTTATTTTGTGATGGGTTTAGTGAAGTGAAAGGGGGGGGCTAGTTTTACCTAGAGAATGTAAATGGAAAGCAATGCTCTTTGGGAACCATTTCTGGATTGTAGTTCAACATCAAGCTGCTGGAACTCTGACCCCTCTGCATGACCATGATGTGCAGAGGCATCGCCGGGAACCCCCAGACAAGTGGCTCCGGACTGGCCATCAGGTGAAATTTGTCTGTACCTTGGAGCAGTGAGCATAAGAGATTTGCTTGGTATATGTATTCTGTGTGTGTTGTTAATAAATAGATGTTTAGAGCACAGCTGTCTACGGTTCTTTCACTGGGAAAAGGTCACGCAGACCTGTACAGCCCCAAGTCCCATGGGTAGTGGCGGGTACTTAAATTGACCAGGTCTCTCCTTGAGCCCCATGAGAAAGGATAGGTGCCTTACACCCCAAGCTCTCGGTAGGGAAAGGGTGGAAGTGCCTAAATTGACCGGGTCACGCCTTTAGCCCTCAAAAGGGTGTGAGCGGGGTGCCCTAGACTGTGGGGTAACAGGGAGGATAGTATCTGAGTGGCCAGATCTTGATGCTGGATATTCTACAGTGGCTACACTACTACTTTTAACAACCTGACTTGATCAAAGCTAGCTCGGGTACGCCTGGACATGCTGCAGTCTTGCCTCCCAGTTGCAGTGTAGATAGACCCTAAGGGAAAGCTCCCAAGCCCTGCCAGCACAGGGTCATAACAAGGATCTACAAATAACTGCTTGAAAGAGGCACAGAGAAAGAGAACACCCTGGAGTTTCGACCTCATTTTTCAGACTGGGACAAATCCGCTGCTCATCTGGCGTAGCCCAGAGGACTATAGTACTCATTACCTAGAAACACAGCCTTGAATTCTCCAGCTGTGACACAATAAATAGGGCTTCGTGTACCCAGTCGTTTTCAGGCAAGGATACTGTGCAATTAAATAAGGTTCCAACTGACCAATTCTTACAGAATTCAGCTCAATGAGCATTGGCAGGGTCATAGGAGCAAAGAAAACCATTTCTCAGGGTGCTTTCCTCAGAGCTGAGCTTCTTCAAATCCAATAATGGGCCTGCCTGCCCTGAAAACCTCACCAGCTGGTGATTTGTGCTGCTGCAGCTTGGAGTGACTGTCGTTTGATCCGTAAAGCTGCTCAGGGGAGCTGTAGTCAGAGGAATACACCACAGCTCTTGCACTAAGCACAGCAGATTGAAAAGAGCAACATCGCACGAGCATGCTACTCTGGTCACCTGACTAGCATAAAGTCCAAATAAAGGACCTGATCCTCCCCTACAAAGCCTCTGCTAGGCCTGGACTTGGCTGTCCCAGTGACTGTCTGTCTTTGGGTGACCAACAGGGACCCTTGTTCATAGATTATAAAGCCAAAAGGGACCACTGTGATCATCTCATCTGACCTCCTGCAAAACACTTTTATAGTGTCAGTCCCCCCCTTGAAAAACATTTCCAGCTGAGTATTGGGAGACAAAGAGTGGATATGGAAGGATGTTCCCTGCTGGCTTTTTTCTTCCTGTTTGAGCTTCTTTTGTTTTCCCTGCCTGCTTGATGACTCTGCTTACTGCTTAAATGCAAATTAAGACAAGCACACATTCCTTTGTCTGGGACAGACCTGTTAGCCAACATCGTTTAACCAGGCCTGTGGGATTTGGAACATGTGTTAATAACATCATACAGGGGAATATTATAACTGTACATGCAATGTTGCCACACATATTTTATCAAGACAATACTGACCAGCAAATTAGGAGTTTTCAAATGATAC